TGTCGCTGCTGCACAGGCTCTGTTGGGGTGGAGAGGTGGTAGGTGCTACACGATGACATCCTCAGGCATGCATTCTGGAAATGGAATTCTTATTAGCTTCCTGCATTTACAGTTTGCCCTACTATAGTACTCAGTAGGTAAAAACACTAGTGTAGCTTACAAAGAGACATTAAGAGGACCAGAAATACTTGGTATTCAGTGGCACAGAAAGCATATTAAAACAAAAAGCACAGTGTTAAGGCTTGCAAGTTTCCCGTATGTTTAGTACATGATCTTTCTTCACACTCGTGTGTACACGCACAGAGCTGACCTGACTTGCTCTGCCCGAGTCATGCAATTGAGAGGGGAAAAAAAGACATCTTGATAACCATGAAAATATTTTAATCAAAACCTTTCAGTTTGGATCTGGGTACTTCAGAACATTGGCAGAAGCTTCTGTGAGTTTAGCTCCACTGAGATGTCTCGCCTGCCTTATCAAGATCATTCTCAGTCTACATTTTTAAGCTACCGTATCTTAAATTATTGAGAAATTATTAATTGCTGAATATATAATAACCTTTGCTTGTATGTTACCGAAAATGGTTTAAGAGCCAACATTTAGAGTGTGACAATGGAGCTGAACAGTTTCTAACGCGCAAGCAGTTCTGTTCTTGTGTATGACTTGTAACCTTAATTTACTGTGTAAAGATGGTTACATTATTTCCTTAGCTTTGTTTGTTGGAGACAGATAGCGAATGCTTGTTAAGTATGTCAGAACATAATCTTCCCTTGTGAACTTTTGTTAATGTCTTATACGAGCTCTATTTTCCATTTGCCCAGAAAGATGGCTTGTATAATGCTTTGGAAGTTTCTGCTCCGTCCGTCTTAGAGCTGACAGTCTGTTAGGTTTGTTTTCTCTTCATGCTAAAGTGTCAGTGGTTTTGTGAACTGGTCAGAAATTCACAGGTCTTAAATGTTTGGGGGAAATTTATATTGGACACTGCTCTTTGTCTAGCAAATAAAAGATGTTAATATATTCCTGTTATTGGCATGTGCACGACTATGTTATTAGAAGCCACTTTATCATTTTCCTGCTTTAAATAGAAATGTCTATTTATGAATTCTGCTTGTAGTTTTTTCACAAATAAAATAGTAAAATTTACATTGGAGGTGATTATTTTGTTGTTTCATAGACCTTAGCTCTTAGAAAAGCCTAGTTTTGCCCCGTCCCACCCACTTGTGGGATGTTTCCAGTGGGGATAGAAAGCGTAGTTCCTTACGTATATGTGTTACCACAAGCTGAAGGTTATTTTCAGTGTCTTAGTGTGTAGATCACAAATGTACAAAAAAGAATTGGGTCAAAGAGCCGTCAGGATCTGGAAGAAAGTGGTTGTGTTTATGCTCCTTGCAGATAGGCTGTTGTGATCTAAAGGAACTGGAGGTGTCTTCCAGTGTTTGAAAGCCCTCTGGCCAGAGTACATGAAGCCTGTTGTGACCAGATGGAGTGAAACATCTTGCCTGGCCCACAAGCCCCGCAGCAAGCCTGGCTTCTTACCTGCTGATGCTTGTGGCCTGCCTTGGAGGATTCATGCTGAGGACTGCGTCTGGTTCTGTGCTTGAGCTCGCACCGAAGGGAAGGGTGCAAATGGGAGCCTTGCCTTGAAGAAACGCTTACCAAGTATTTCGTGTTTGTATTTCATCACTGTGATTCTTCAAGAAGCATTGGGAAGGTCTCAAGGGCACGGAGTAAATGGTGTCTGTGTTGCTGCTGTTTGTGCTGGGACATCTTAGGTGTAGAAACATTCTCTGCTCTCTCTCCCATGCTTGTACTTGTAGCCCCTTTGTGGGGTCCCACTAATAGTGGTACTGGGAACACTTGGGAGGATGGAACCTCCCATGTGACGTGCGAACACCAGACATCAGGAAGAATAGATTATTAACCTCACTGTCCAAGAGGCCAAAGCTAAATACTGTCCAGAGCTGAGAACTGCTTGCAGGTGTGACCTCAGTGTGCTAATTGGTGCTTGCTGAAAGAATTGCACAAGGGCCAGAGTGATGTTAAAGGCTTGGCAGTGCCTGGACAGCCAGCTCTTGAGTGAAGCAGAGGAAGCCTGTTGGACCTTGACACTCTGAACACGGAAGGAAAAGTGGGACAGCTTTAGAGCTTTCTTGGAGGCAGGTTGGTAACTTTGGCCAAGTCCTGTTTGCTAGTCATGGACAGTAGCTATGGCTTAATCTGCCTGCACAGTGGAAGGGGGTAATTGGTCTTACAGCAAATGCTCTGGTTTTCCTAGGAAAAGCACAGGCTGTAGGTGGGAATACAAGTCACTGCGGGTCTAGGCGGACAGTGGCGTGGAAGGTATGCATGTGATGTTCTACTGTTAGCCAAAGTGGGGATGGGGGTTGGGCGGCTCTCTAAGGCATCCAGGCTGTCAGGCTTCAGTTTTGACCATGTATTCAGAGGTTGCTAGGGGTGAACAGTGAGGTGGAGGAGACAGTTGGCTTGGGAGAGGCCTATTGTGCAGCTGCCCCCACTCAGCCCTGTGTTTGCTGCTGGGGCTTGAACATAAATAGGGCCTTGCATATGCCAGGTGAGCGCCTCTACTACTACTGCCCCCAGACTTTTTTAAAAGTTTTATCTTTGAGATGGCCTCTGTAGATTTCCAGGCAAATCTTGAACGTTTGGTCCTTCTTCCCTGGCCTCCAGAGAAACTAGGATTGCAGGCCTGCACAACCAGACCCAGCTATAACAGGTACCTCTGCCCTGGACCTGCAGGGCAAGCATGCAGGCTTCTGCAGCTTTACACCATGGGTTTATACCAGACATCACTAACACAGACGTTGATAACCCTTGCTCCCCCTGACATAGAACCCATGTGTTACCCTCACTGGCTCCCTGCAGAACATAGCCAGATGGAAGATTACCAGTCAGTCCTGCCAGGTCTGAGCCCTACAGCCTGAAGAACAGCCCAACCCCAGATTCCTGACCCTAAGGACCTCGGAGTTCCGAGTGTACCATGTAGTCCAGACCAGGATCTGTCTACCCAGGCTACACCCCCAGTTCTATTCTCAGCCATAAATCACAAGCAGATAAATGAGTGGATGCTACTCCTGGAAGGATATGCTCATGGAGTAGATGGAGACTCACCTCTGGGGACTGGGTGATCCTGGGCAGTTCAGCCTTACAGGTGTGAGAGTCCTTGCTGAGACAGTGGGACCTGCACTCTGGCCTTGGTCTCTCTGACACCCTGAGAAGTGACTGTTAAACCATTTCTAGGAAGAGAAGGAGATTCATTTTCATGCATTTGCATTCTTATGTTCCTGGATAAACTCACTGATAACAAGACCTTGGTATGATTGGTTTGTTGTGCTTTTTGGTTGTGACTATTTTTTCATGGCTCAGAGGCAGCACCACTTGGTCAAAGGCCATGCATAAATAAATGGAATTCAGGGGTGGCTTTGACAGCTGTTCTTTATTTTTGTGGCTACAGTGTTGCTCCCAGTGTGGTTTTCAATTGTTTGGATTTTCAATTAGTGATATTATTGTTTGTCAATTATTTCCTTTTAATTTTTTTCCTAGTATATTATTTGCTGAACAAAGCATTGGGTTTTGTAATGACTTTTTTAAAATGATGTATTTAACTTTATTTGTGCAATGGTGTGAAGGTGTTAGATTGCCCTGGAACTGGATTTACTATCACTTATGAGCTGCCATGTGGGTGCTAGGAATTGAACCCTCGTCCTCTGGAAGAGCAGTCAGAGCTCTTAACCGCTGAGCCATCTCTCCAGCCCCTTGTAATTACTTTTTTGACATTCTTAAAATGTCTTTAATCCCAGCAGTAGGAAGGCAGAGGAAGGCAGATCTCTTAAGTTCAAGTCCAGCCTGGTCTATAGAGTTGTTGCCAATAGCCGCTGAGATACCAGCCCATTGGGGTGTGGTCTCTCTCCCTCTAAAAAAAGCAGCTACTTCCCTTCTTGCTCTCTTGGCTTCCTGCTTCGGTTCCGGCAATTAGACTTCTTCCTGATTGCACAGAGGGCTGTTGTCTGGGATGGTTATCTGTAAGTTTTTTCCCCTTTAAATAAATACCACCCTATTAATCATAATTCCAAACTGGTGTGGCATTGTTTGTGACTTACGCCTTCATAGAGTGAGTTCTAGGACAACCAGGGCTATACAGAGAAACCCTGTCTTAATCGCACCCACCCCCAAATTTAAGGTTTTGGAAATTTCTTGTGTATGGGGTGTTTCTGATGCCCCCCCATCTTCTCTTATTCCCATTCCTGCAGACCCCTTCTACCCTATTATCACCCTACCCCTTGTCCTGTGCAGGTGATCACAGCTACTGTGTTTTTGTGATTGCCACTTTCCTGCCGATGATATAATTTCATTCTTAGAACTAAGTAGAATCTCATTCTGCTACCTCTTCTTGCTTTATAATCCTGAAGAATTTGCAATCTAAGTACTTAGATGGAACTATGTTGTTTAACTCACAGGAGTTGTTGAGGTTTGAACCCAGGGCTTCATGCATGCTAAGCAAGCACTATACTGTACCAACCAAGCCACATCCCAGCCCATTAGAACAATAACTGCTTAAGTCTCAAAAGCTCAAGAGAAGTCCTGCAGACAAAGATCTGTTCCCCTGTCGTCACCCTGATATTTTTAAAACAAAGCCACCAACTAATATGACACAGGGGAAGGCTTTAGTGACTTTAGTACAAGTGTACTTTAGTACAAGAGAATGGCAAGCCCAAGTACTACATACAGACCACTCTGTTACTTGGAGAGCACTGTGCCTCCGATACTTGCGAGGCTTTATGACCTGAAGAATTCCTGGCTCCTGGCAGATGTTCAGAATATGCTGGTTTTTCTGCTGGCTTTAGCTGTCAACAAGGCCCTGCAGACATCATTTTAGTCCCACTGCAGCTTAAGAGAGTCGTTCTTCACTCCACAAGCCTTTCTTTGCAACAGCAGGTGAGATGTTGGCAGCTGGCCATGACCATCCACCTCTGTGCCTGTGAAAATCTCTTGCCACCTGAGACCTGTGCAGGTCTGCAGGGAGGAGCCACCAGGCTTGGGGAGCCCCACCACCATGAATGCAGGCCAAGTTGGTGGCTCTTTGGAGCTTGCCTTACCCCCAACAGAAGGTAGTAATGTTAGCAGAATGGCGGAGTGGGCATCACATGCAAAATCAACATGCATTCCAGGACCAAAGCCCAAGGCCCTAGAAGGACCCTGTTTTTAATCTATCTCCTTAAGTGCTTGTGTTAGAAGGTTCATGAATGGTTGCTGCTTTTGTAACTGCCTACAGTACAGTGTCTAGGTGGGGAGAAATATTTACTAACCCAAGATGTAGGGGAGAGAAAAACTTCCTTTCACCCCCTTTGTTCATTGAGTTCATGAAACAAACTCAGTATGAGACCAACAGAAGAAATGCCGTTTTACCTCATTCTTATGAATGGGAGTGTTCCAGCAAACTCACATTCAAAGGCCTGGTGCCTGACTTTTATGTAGCAGTAAGGAACAGGCTTGGAGCTTCTGGGAGTTGCCGAAGACGACTGTGGGACGATGAGGAAAGAAACAGGAGCAGGCGTGCTCGGTCGAATCAGAGAATGTTTTCCTCAGAACTGAGAGTGGTGGCGTGTGCCTGTAATCCCAGTGCCAGGGAGGTGGAAGCAGGAGGGACAGGAGTTCAAGGCCAGCCTCAATTCCAGGCCAGTCTGGTCTAGGTGAAACCTTGTGCACAAAACAAGTCCCATGTAAGAAGTGGCAGTCCTGTGTCAACCTTGAGACTTTTTTCCCTGGAAAAATGAGTTCCACTGATCTGGTGAATAAGATTCTCAGGGAGGGGAGCTCTGACAACTCAAGCCTGATGGAGACTATCCGGAGGTGTGATGGTCAGTTAATCTTCATTGTCTGTTGAAATAGGAGCAGCGGCAGGGCTGCGTCCCCGGCACCCGGCCGCCCGCATGGCTAGCTTATGCCTGAAATAATTACACGGAAACTGTATTCTTTCAAACACTGTCTGGCCCGGCTAGGTCCAGTTTCTTATTGGCTAGCTCTTACATATTGTTCTAACCCATTTCTAATATTCTGTGTAGCCCATGAGCTGGCTTACCAGAGAGGATCTTAACCTGCGTCTGTCTGGAGTGGGAGCATCATGGCGACCCACTCACTCAGCTTCTTTTTCCCAGCATTCTCCTCTGTCTACTCCGCCTACCTAATTTTCTGTCCTATGAGGGCCGAGGCAGTTTCTTTATTATTAACCAATGAAATCAACAGATAAGATACAAGACCCACCTCCATCAATTGTCCACCAGTTAGCATTTAGAATCACCATGGAAATGCCACACTAGACTTGTCTGTAAGGGAGTTTCTAGGTTGGTTTAACTGAGGCAGGAAGATCTGCTCTGTATGTAAGTGGTACCCTCCCGTGTCTGGGGTCTTGGGCGAACACAAAAGAGAAAGGCATCCCACTGCTTCTGCTCCCTGGCTGCAGATGCTTGTAAGCAGCTGCCCCAAGCTCCTGCCACCACCGTGATGGACTTCCCCAAACCAGGGCCCAGAATGAGTCCTTCCTTCCTCAAGTTACTCTTGTTGGCATTTTATCTTAGTAATGAGAAAAGCAGTTAAATAGGTAAATGAGCCAGGCTTAGAGAAAGGCCTCTTTGAGCCGGGATATACTTTCTTGGACCAACAAGGTCTGCGCAGGTGCCAGAAGGCGCTAGAGTCCCTGCAGGGCTCTCATCGAGCAACTGCACACGGGTGCACCTCACTTTGGCACATTGTTTTCTAGGTCCCAATGGTGATCTTTCAAGCCCCATTCTGTGCTTGACTGTTGGGGAGGGGCAGGCCCAAGGATTTTAGCCAGTTCTCTCCAGCCTTCTCCTGCATGTCCAGAATTATATGACCCACAAATTCACATATTAATGACCTTTTGGAGAATTTGGTTGGTTCTTGATTTTTGCAACCTGGCTTAGCATTTGACTCTCTCAAGACAGTGGCCTACCCATTTTCCAGCTTCAAATATTTTCTTGGTGGTGGGTAGTGGTGGCACACGCTTTTAATCCCAGCATTGGGGGGTGGGGTGGGGGGGGGAGGCAGAGGCTGGCGGATCTCTGTGAGTTCAAGGCCAACCTGGTCTACAAGAGCTAGTTCCAGGACAGGCTCCAAAGCTACAGAGAAACCATGTCTTGAAAGCCAAATAAATAAATAAATAAAAATTTCTTGGTGTTTCCCTTCCTTTCTCTTCAGACTTGTGGTTTTGTTGCTTTAAAAACAAACAGGGTCGGGACTAGAGAGATGGCTCAGCAGTTAAGAGCACTGACTGCCCTTCCAGAGGACCTGGGTTCAATTCCCAGCACCCACATGGCAGCACACAATTGTCTGTTACTCCAGGATCCAACATCTTCACACAGGCATGTATGCAGGGAAAACATCAATACACACAAAATAAAATACAGAAAGCAAAACCAACAACAATAACACACACAAAAGAACAAAAAGAACAACAAAAAAAAACAAGGTCTGAAGAGAGGACTTGGCAGTTTAGAGCACTGGATGCTCTTCCAGAGTGCTGGGGTTCAGTTCCTAGCACCCACATGGCACACAGTCATTTCTAACTCCAGTTCCAGGGGACCGGACACCTTTTTCAGGCCTCCATGGGCACCAGGCATGCATGTGGTATACAGACATACATGCAGATGAAATACCCAAACATAAAAATAATATAAACAAAAAAATCCATCTTTACCTGAAAGCATTATGGTTTTTTTTCCCAGCTAATATTCACCTTCCTGATGATAGTGTGCAATAAGCTAGACATAAGGAACTTCCACAGCCTGAGAAAAAGTATCTGTGAAAAGTCCAGAGTGTGGACGTGGGCTCTGTACAAGGATATCTGTTGTTACCACTTCTGTTCATCTCCACTAGGATTCTCGCCCGATTGGAAAGGAAGAAGTAAAATGATTCATCCTTACGCGTGACATCATCTTTTACATCCGAAGTCCAAAGCATTCTTTAAAAAAAAAAAAAAAGGCCCCTGTTATACCAACGAACCTGGGGAGAAGTTCAGGAAGACTGCACATCAGAAGAACAGTGTACAAGAGTCAATGCTACTTCTATACATTTGCTACGGACATGCTGGAAATGAAACGCAGGACCATTAAGAGGTGCTGCACCGAGAGCAGCTTAGTCCTGAAATCCTGACAAAGGGCTGTGAAGAAATGAGAAAAAGACAGCCATGCAAACACGTGTACAGAACAACAGGGGTCAGGTGGGCCGTGTGTATTCTCAGGGAGCAGCATCAACTACCCACCCACGTGTTCACTAGGAACCACACCGCGGGAGGGCGCGGCTAGTCGCCTTAGGCAGCAGTTTCAGGCTGTCAACCTTTGGGAGGAGGAAGCAACAGTTGTTGGCTTCTGGACACACCACCAATGTTTGCACTGAGACCAGAGGAAGGCTTTCTCAGTTCCAAGCCTAACCTGTGTATATGTTTATGACCAGGCCACTGCCATGGGTCTGAAGCATTGGTCCTTGACGTGGCCATGCCGATGTCAACAATACACATCCAGTGTGCTTGCTTGGCCTGCAGTAAAGATGGGCCAGCTAAATGGCTCAGGGGGTGAAAGTATTTACTTTCAAGCCTGAGTCCCTGAGTCCAATCTCTGGGACATCATGTATTGTGATGTTTTATTCTTTTAGTTTTTTTTGGGGGGGGAGGGGTCTACCACCCAGCTCCAAAATAAATCACACACGGAGGCTTATTCTTAGTTAGGAATGCCCGGCCTTAACTTGGCTTGTTTCTAGCCAGCTTTTCTTGTAGACCAGGCTGGTCTCGAACTCACAGAGATTGGCCTGCCTCTGCCTCCCAAGTGCTGCCTAGCCAGCTTTTCTTAAATTATTGTGACTACCTTTTGCCTCTGGACTTCTATCTTTCTCTTATTTCTATGTCCCTTCCTTTACTTCTTTCCCTGTAACTGTGTGTTGGGGTGACTGGCCCCTGAAGTCCTCCTTTCCCCCCTTGTTTCTCCTTGTATTTATACTCTGTGCCTGCCACCCCGCCTATCCTTGCTCCTGCCTCGCTATCGGCAACACAGCTCTTTATTAAACACCATCAGGTGTTTTAGACAGGCAAAGAATCACAGCATCACAGAGTTAAACAAATGCTACATAAACAAAAGTCATACAACTTAAAGTAATATTTCCCAACAATCGTGGAAGGAGAGAATGGATTCCTGAAAGTCTGATCTTCACATGTGCACTGTGTGTGCACTTTCACACACTCAAACACATGCACACACACACACACACTAAAAGGTAATGACAAAAATGTAAAATAAAATATTTAGAAATATTTGTAACAAGTGACTATAAAACCTCTGTTCTGAGAAACTGTTGGAAGAAATCAAAGAGCTAAGTGGATAGAAAGACATCCCATGTTCATGGATCATTAGGAAGAAGGCAGACTGCAGGAATGCCTGTCACAGCCAATTGGGCACGGTAGACCCATGCCTGTGGTTTCAACCCAGCCCTCTCTGAAGTCCTTGTCTGCTTTGGAATCTCCATTTTCTGCAGAATTCCCTCCATCTTTGCCAGCATTGGTTTTGCCCTTTTTCCTTCTGGGTACCTTCTCTCCCAACTCTGCAAGAGACTTTATGGTTTGGTTTGGGTTTTGTGCTGGAGACTTTTTAGGCCTTAGCTCCAGCCGCAGAGGAGCAGGTTCAGCATAGAACCTTGAGGTTCACACCCGCCATCTTGTCTCCTCTCCTTTAGCAGCTCCTTCAGCCGTTCTTTTGGGCATGGGGGTAGAGGGAACAGAGCCACAGCGCAGCAGTTATGATGGGTCCAGGGGCCATTCTCTCTTTTTCCTTCCCCAAAATAAAAAATTTGAGGCTTCAAGGGGCACCATCGTTAAGTTGTAAAGATGCTCACCGAGAGGGAGAGGTGTTTGTCAAATGCGTGTAGCTGAGAAGATACTTTGGTTCAGAATGCACCTGGACCTTTTACAATTCAAAAAATGAAAAGATAATCCAATTAAAAGCTGGCCAAGGGGTCTGAACAAACATCATAGGAAAACGTAAACATGGCCTCTAGAAGCCTATGAAAATGTATTGAGGGTGATTAGCCAGAAGGGAAATGCAAATCCAAACCTTGGTGAGATGGATGCCCTATCCATTAAGACAGCTTAGATAAAGATGGACAGTCACAAGTGTTGGCAAGGAGAAACTGAACCCTCAAAAGATCATAGAATCCAAGCAATGAAAACAGCACTTGGGAGCAAAGACTGGCGAGCCAGCCTGGTCTACAGAGCTCCAGGACAACCAGGGCTACACAAAGAAACCCTGTCTTGACCAACCAGTAAATGAATGAATGAATGAATGAATATATGAATGTCTCCTCAGGAGGCTGGGCATGAAGGTCCAGCACTTGAAGAGGAAGTTTGAAGCTAATCTGAGCTACCATGTTGGTGCTGGGAATTGAAAATTGAACCTGGATCCACCTGGAAGAACACCCAGTGCTCTTAACCACTGAGCCATCTCTCCAGCCCCGTTATGCATACATTATACAAATTACTTAACCTTTCAGTACCTTGATCTCTCCACCTAGAGTAAATGGGGATAGAGACAGTGCTTATCTTGGGGAGCTAATATGGTTTATAGGCTTTGGATAGTGCTTGGTCCAGAAAAGCTATCACAGTTCTTGTCTGTGTTGCGAACCAGCAAGGTAGGGTACTGTGTCGGGAGAAAGCTGCCTCTTACACGTTCTGGTCTGTATCCTTGTCGCTAAGAGACCATCCACGGATGGATTATCTTTATCTGCTTGCTGTACGTCCTAGGAATTTGGGTCATAAGCCAGTCCCCCGGAACCAAAGCTGCTATAGGTCACAGCACTATGACAGGCCCAGCATGATCACAGACTCATGGTCACAAGCCTGGGTATCACAGCAACAGTCCACTGAGGCCACATGGAGTTGAGGTCAACAGGAGGAGGAAATGGCCGGACGGACAAATACCAATCCCACGGTCACCCACTCTCAGGAAGTCCTCACACACTGCTGGCGAGAATCAAGTCCCAGGCAAGCTGAAGTTGGGAGGACTCTGTCAGAACTCCTGGGTCGGCCTTGGTGCTGGAGGCCTGCTCTGCATCCTGCCTTTTCAGTAGTTATCAGTGGAGACGGGAGGTCCCTCAGAGTCCTTGAGGCATCGCTATGGAGCAATAGGTCGGTTAGCCTCTCCAGAGTTGGGAATAAACAGGCCTTGTGGATGCAACCCTGAGATTAATCTCCCTGTAATCTCAGAATTTGTGATTCTTTTTTTTTTTTATTTGTTTTGTCTTTGAGGCAGGGTCTCACCATATAATCCTGGAACTCAGAGATCCACCTGCCCCCGCCTCCCAAGTGCTAAGATTAAAGGCATGTACCAACACACCTAAGTGAGACCCTCTTAATTTTGCAACCATGTTAATATGAAAAGATGGTGGTCTCTTTTCCGCCAGGGGGGAGGGGCTGCAGTGACGGCTCAGTTGGTAAAGCGCTTGCCAAGTGCAAGTACCCGAGCTCTATCCCCAAACCCCACGTGAGAATGCTGGGCATGGTGGCACAGCTTTGTAATCCAGTGCTGGGGAGACAGAGATGAGAGGTTCGGGCGGGGGGCTGTTGCTGGCCAGCCAGTCTAGAACAGCAGGGCAGTAAGAACTTGTCAAAAAGAAAAAAAAAAAAAAACAAAACCACAGCTCCTGAGGAAAAGCAGCAGAGACTGTCTTCTGTCTGGTATGCATATACATTCTTGCTCTCTCTTACACACACACACACCGGCTGGGAAACACCAAGCTCACATTGTAGACACTTGGGTCGGTTTCAAATGGTGCCTGGGTAGTCTCAGTTGCATGGCCCATCTGGGAGGTAGCTACATATGGGGTCTGTCAGAACCAGAGAGCAATTTCACTAAGCCTACACCCTGAAATGTGGAATTCACGGGATTTTTCTGCAGAAATTCGAAGCTGGCAACAGAGAACCTTTGGAAGTTGGGGGTAATTAACCTTTCTGTGTAACATGAGCTTCCTCTGCTAAATGGAGGGGAAAACTAGACCAGTTTTAATAGTGAACAGATCCATGGTCGCTTCGGTTCCCACATGCTTCCCAGAGCTGTGGTTGCCACATGTGGCCCGGTATGAGGGGACAGCCACATGCATATAGCCTAAGCTGGTCTGTAACTCATGCTGTACTCTTAGCTGGTCTAACACTATGCAACCCACGCTGTCCCACCTCTCCGTGCATCACTCAGGGTGGCTTCAAACTCACTGGGTAGCCTTAGCTATCCTTGAGCTACTGTGAGGCTCCTGTCCCAGCATTCCCAGTACTGCTGTTAGGAGCATGAGCCACCGCATCTAGGCCCATCTCTTCTTTACTTTTCTCCCATGGGTGACAACTGCAGGCTTTGCTGCTCTGTCGCTGTGGCGGCAGCTGTACCACTTTCCCAGCACAGGTTCACAGCAACGTCCTGGCCTTGTCCCTCTGTCATTTCATCTGTGACCTCACGTACTTCTCTCCAAGCCATAATTGAATTCACATTTGATCTGCTTGACCTCAGCCTCCTCAGAACTGAGTTCCTGGTGGACAGAGCTCTCAGAGCCTAAAAGGTAGTGAGAGCAGCCACCAGCCTTCTGAGACCCAAAGAGGCCGCAGGCCAGTCTCATTTGCCCCGTCTGAGGTTGAAGAGCATCAATGTTCAGCTGTGTTGGAGCATCAGGATGGCTGTGAGACCTGGGTGGTTGAAAATCACAGCTGACCTGAAGTCTCCCTGGTTCTGGAGGCTGATGTCTGACGGAAGGGTTGTGTCCCAGGAGGCTACAGGGTAGGAGCTGTCCCAGGCCTGCCTCCTGTGGCGTAGATGGACATCTTGTCCTGGTGACGTCACAGTGTCTTCTCCCTGTCTAAATGTCCACTCACGCTATGCCTTTGTTTGTTTGTTAAGTTTTAATGTCTTGTTTTCCAGGCAGTCTCTTGCATCCCAGGCTGGCTTTGAATCTTGACCTTCTGATCTTCCTTTTCCTCCCTCCCGAGTGCTGGAATTACTGGTGTGTGTACCACACTCGTTTATAAAGGTCCCCTTTTATGAGGACAACAATCACAGTGAGGGGGTACATCATGGCTTCCCAGAGACCTTGGCATAGGAGATCCTAACAACCCTCATGTGCTCGAGGGATGAGTGTTAATTAATAATCATGAAAAGGTCACAACATCTGATGATTTCCGGAGTCAGGCACTGAGCGGAAACTTTTTTTTTTTTTTGAGACAGGTTTCTCTGTGAAACTCTGTTTGTCCTGGAACCCACTCTGTAGACCAGGCTGGCCTTGAACTTACAGAGATCTGCCTGCCTCTGCCTCCCAAGTGCTGGGATTAAAAGCATACACCACCACTGCCTGGTCAAAGTTGAAGCTTTTTCTGGCGTGATAGTTAATTTTCTTTGTCAACATGACTGGGTTTGGAATCACCTGGGAGACACACCTCTGGGCATTTCCAGGGAGGTTTAACCCAGAGGGAGAGATGTGTCCTGAATGTGGGTGGCACACGCTATGGATTGGGAGCCCTGAGGCGAATGAAAAAGGAGGAATGAGGAAGCAACTGCCCACTGATGTTTACTTCTCCCTGTTTCCTGACTGTGGACACAGCCTAAGGAGCCACTCCACTCTCCTGTGACCATGCTTCCCCAACGTGATGGACTCTGTCTTCTGAAACAGGGGCCAAGATAAACCCTGCCTCTCTGTATTCGGCATTCTCTCACAGCAAAGAGGAAAGTAAGGCCTCTGGGGCCTGTTTTCCTCTCAGCACAGGCTGACAGAAGAGGTGTGTGACTGATGATCCCTAGGGAGAGGAAACTGAGGCACATATTAAGTAAGGGAGAGGCAGGCCTCTGTGCACTCGGTCTGAGTTCTATCAATTGCATCCTTCCACTAACCCTTTCAAAGAAGACGAGACCAAGGTTGCAAAGGGGGCAATTTGCTTGAGACAGTTGACTGCCCCTGTACCTTTAGAGGGGAGAAGAGGAGGCTGGAGCTGACATTTGTCAGGGATCTAGAGGGTCAGTCCAGCCCCTAATGACCTGGCTTTGAGACAATACCCTGGGCCTCCAAGGGCTATGAGCCTCTGTTTCCTCGGCTATAAAATGGCGTCAGTAACAGAGGTGTGACTGTCGGACACCCTGCATCTCCCTAAGGTTTTCCCAGCCCTGCATTACAAGGCCTGGATTTTCTAGGGCAGTGTTTGGCTCTCATCCAAGCCCCATAAATGACGGTTGGCGGGCTTTTGCCTACTCCCACCCCAACACCCCAATCCGCTATAATTGGAGTCTTGTCGGTGAGTTATTGACTCCCTGTTTTTATAGGCTCTCCCACATCCCCTCCCCACATTGCCTCCAAACAGAGGCCCTGTAAGACAGAGCCAAAAACATAGCTAAGAGAGTGTGTGCTAGTGACCCAGCCCCTGCGAGGGTGATGCAGAGAACTTTCCAGGGCTGGGCCTGTTCCTGTTCTCCCTCTGGCAGCTCCTGCCCCCTTCTTCCTTTTACAGAAGCCGCTCTGTCCCCTCAGACTGGGCCAGTCCGTCCACCCCCCCCCCCCCCCCCCGGCTCTGTTCTCTAATGGTTCTGGGAAGGGTAGGGGCTGTGTTTGCAGGCCAGTCAGGAAAGTCAGTCAGCCTGTCATGGTCTCACAGTCAGACTCTGACACACAGCCAGGCCCACACAGCAAGGCACGGTCGCCTGTACTGTGAGTCATGACCAGCCAGCCAGTAGCCTGGCCAACATCAACCGGTCTACCCGTTAGCATACCCAGTCAGGGCAAGCACTTGGCTGGTGCACAACAGCCAGACTTGGCTGCATTGTCGGGGACATTCAGTCATGGCTGCTCCTGTCTAGGGTCAGTCAGATGGCCCGCCAGTGTCAGTCTGCCAGATGCTGTCTCGAGGGTGGATTTTGTAAATCAGCACTACAGTCAGCAGATCTCCTGGTCAGTCTCAGTCTGTCAGCCAGTCAGACAGACAGTCAACATCCAGCTGCCAGCCAATGGGTACCAGTCACCCAGACAGTGAATGAGAACCAGTCAGCCATATAGTCGAGCCTGGTCTCTAGGATAGTACTTCACAGCTCCACTCAGTTTTCCTGCCACAGCCACCCACTCAGGCACAACCACTCCCATCGTGAGGTACCAGCCAGGCCTACTTGATACATCAACCACATGACCTCTCTCCGGTAACTAAGGCAAGTGGCCAAGCCTGTTGGTTGGGCACAGTCTCTTTCTGTCTGGTGAGCAGCCAGTCACGTCAGAGGGAGCCACCGTCCGCGGCCTGGTGGGTCAACAGCCAGTCAGTAATCCTCCGAGGAGCAGACACGCCATCAAGGCAGTCAAGACTCAGGGGTCACAGGCAGACACGTAGTCCTACAATTAGTCTGGAAAAGACAGCCCCCTCCCAGCCAGCCAGCCTGTCAGTCACAGCCATGGAGCCATCAATCAAGCTTTTCACTGGACACTCTCAGGAGAGCGAATTCGGTCTGTCAGTCACCCGTCAGCCAGTCAGTCAATTGCCTGGTTATTTAGTCAGCATGAATTTTTAGGCAGCCAAACCAGCCGACCACCCATTACTCCCTGTCATTGACTAGCCATCCTGTCACGCAGACACCACGAGCCAGCCGCCTGACTGACTCATCCTTAAGCTGGTCGGACTTACTCCATCAGTCTGGCCGCAGTCGGCCATGATAGTCACGATGTCACTGGATTAGGCCTGTTCTGTTTGCTATACAGTGTTACTGGAATGAGAAATGTTTTTGTTTATTTCCTCTGTGTGTGTGTGCGTGCACACACACATATGAGCACCACAACATGTATGTGGAGGCCAGAGGACAGCCTGGGTGATCAGCCTCGGTGGCAAGTGCCTTAACCTGCTGAGTCATCTTGCTGGCCCATTTTATTCTTTTTTTGAGGTTGGTGTAAAATGCAGCTGCTTTTTTTGAGTTTCATTTTCAAATTGTTTATTGCCTGTGTAGATCCACCTTTACCCTCTGAGCCACCCTGCCAGCCCAAAATAATCTACTTGAAGCTATGTAGTGTGTGGAAACAGAAGCATAGGGCTGTCTCCCTGGAATTGCAGAACCCGGAAGCAGGGTAGTCTGAGGTGTGGGGAAAGTATTGACCGGAAAGTGAGGTCGTGCGCATCTGGACCCAGGAGCTTCCTGGCTCTTCACAGGCTGTGTGTTCAGAAAAGGAGGCATTCACGAGCTTGACAGTGGACTTTGGACCCTTTGATATCAAAGGGTCATCAGCCTCTGGCACAGGCCCAAGTAAAAGCTCCCCAGTTTCAACCAGCTTGAACTGCCTCCAAGTTCCTGAAAAGCAACTTGTGCAACTCCTAGAGTAACCCCACTGTGACCTGCGTCACAAGGACGGGAATGCATTGCTCTGCTATACATCCTCCACCATCTGTGAGAAAAACATTCGATATAAGTGAAGCCAGAGGCTCCATCCGAGCTTCGTTCATTTTTAACGAGTTTCTCCTGTCAGTGACCGGGTCAGTCCCACCCACAGCCAGTCGGTCAGCACAACATACCCACCCAGTGACTGTCAAACCCATTTGTCAGCTTACCTAGTCACTCTGAGAAACACTGAGTCCTTACAGTATTCAAATGGAGAAACCACTCGAGGAAACACAAGACCGAAAACATGGCTTACCCCTTCAACACGTCAAGAACCAAGGGTCCCATGCAGCCTCCCTGTGTCTGATTCATCAGGATGGACAGGGCAGGGGAGGCCAGGACATGCACACTGAAGTCCAGTGGGGACTGTTATCAGGCAGAGGGCCACACGGGCAGGTGCCCACAGACAGGCAGGGGATGCTTGGACAGTTTTCAAGCAGACAACCCGGATGTTCTGTGAGGATTTCCTGTGGCCTTGCAGTCAGGAGCTTTCTCCTCCCTTTCTCCCATTTCTCTTCCCTCCTCTTGGGCCTCCACTGCCCTCTCTCAGCCCCTCCTTACTCAGCCCGCGTCTGCCTTCCCAGGGGTCCACCCTCCCCCTCACACCCGCAGACCTCCCAACCATCACATACCACATCCACATGCTGTGTGCAACACACACATGCTCACAAGCACACTACACACAGAGACATGCACACGTGCCTTACTTCTTGGCTGGCCTCCTCATGCCAGGAAGTCCTGTTTCCAGCAGCCTGAGCGGTCGTTCAGCCTCCTCCTTTCTTCAGTCAGAACTTTTCACCTGTGAGGGTTGGCTTCGCTGGCCACGCTGCATTTGACTTTCCTGGAGACTCTCTTCATACCCTCCAGCTCCTCAGAACCTAGGTTGACAGGGAAGGCTGGGAGGAGCCCGCTCACTGCCTTCCGAAGCCTAAAGCTTTAGTTGTAGTTCTCCAAACCCTGGCCGGCATCCAGTCAGAAGAGCAAGCCAGAACTAAGCGCCAGAGAACAGCTGTTTGTCGTTCAGAGACGGAGGCTGCCTTCCTTCTACTGACCTGAGGCAGAGAGCCTCACTGGCTCCTTCCTTAAAACCCAGGGCACTTTAAGTAGAGTCCTGCAGCCCCACACTTCCTCTTCCACATGGGATATGGTGACAGGGCCACCTGCTCCAAGCCTGGCTAGAGGATGGAGGGGTTTGAGGTGAAGAGCCCAGCAACAGAGCCTCGGGGAGGGGCTCCTAGAATTAATGACAGCTGACCTGGGGTGAATTTGTAACACCTGGGCCCACTGGTGGTTCCAGCCAAAAGGTCCTCCCCTTAATCCCTTCCGTGTTTGATCTCCCAGGCCACACTGCCCAGACCTTGTCTTCCCAACAGCTTCACCGAGTCAGCGTCTCCCCTCTCCCCACTACGCAGAGGAAGGGACAGCTCTGGGAGTTGAGGTAGCGATGGCCAAGCCAGGACTGACTGGCTCCTGGCCCTGGAGTGGTGTCTATAGTACTACAGGCCCACGTGCCTCCTGCCCCAGCACCCAGCCCTCCCTCCCGGCTTCCCTTCTGCCCGCTGCCCTCTCTCAGTACACGGCTGTTAGGGGCTCTGCTCCGGCTTCACACATAGTTTCTTCTTTCTTTAGAAATGGAAAGTGCAAATCGCGGGACGCGCGGGGCACCCCACCCCCACCCCCTCTCCTTCTCCTCAGGAGTTGCCCTTCCTTCCCCTCGGTGATGGGATATGAAACCGGAGCCTCTCTTCCGTTTGCCAAGTCTCCCCCACAGCCGTTGCTGCTCCAAGGGCCACATCTGGTCCGGGGCATGTTTGGTGGCAGATCTGTGTTCCCTGGAAATGGCATTCCAGAAAGGAGGGTGCAAGCCCTGGCTAGGATGCTCTGTCATTAGTGCCTGGGGTTTGGGTCTCTATCTTCTGCCCTCCCCTCCAGAGCTAATCCCGGCACTTCAGCCGGCAAGGCCACCCACAGCTGTCAGCTGCAGTCTGGTAGGAGCCCCTGCCGCAGACCTCAGAGCCTACTCTTTTTGAACAGGCCAATGTCCCCAACAGGCTCCTTCCCTCACCTCCCCCTACATCTTTCCTCTCCCCCCCTCCAGCCTCTCCCCTGCCTTGCTCTCTCTGTCCTTTCCTGCCCACTTCCCGCAGCCCCTTCTCTTGCTTTTTACCACAGCAGCAGCGCCTCTTCTCCCTGTGGTTCCATCTGCCCTCACCTCTCTTCCTCCAGCAGCCTCTTTGTCTCTCCCTCTCTGTCCTGGCTTCCGAGCCTCAGGGTTCCTTCCTTTCCTCATCTCTTGATAAATGTGTTGACCTAACACCAGGTCTGTAAGGGACAGGCAACTCTGCAGGATTGCCCGGAGGGACACAGGGTCTCACGTCCTCTGGTGTGCACTCTTCCGAAGTGCGTGAACTCCACCCCCTTCAAGAGTACTTCCTCACTGGAGCTGCCACCAAGGACGTCACCCATCTTTTAAATCTCCCAGAGGCTCTGTTCTAAGCCAGGTGTGTGACATCAGGGCCTGGGGCCTTCTCTCCTCAGGGAGCTGTGGAGCTGTCATCTCCTGGGGAGCCCTGCTTATCTTCAGGCCTGGCTCATCTCTGGAATCTGCCTCTTTCCTCTGGAGGCCCAGCTTCATCTAGATTTCATAGTATCTGTGAGAAAGGCTGTCTCAAACCCCTGCAGGGACCCTAAGGGCCTGGCTACCCCCAGGGGCATACATACCTCACTCAGCAACCAACAGCTTCCCTGATCAGTCTTCCCCAGGAGCTGCCTGAAACACACACACACACACACACACACACACACACACACACACACACACACACACAGAGAGAGAGAGAGAGAGAGAGAGAGAGAGAGAGAGAGANCACACACACACACACACACACACAGAGAGAGAGAGAGAGAGAGAGAGAGAGAGAGAGAGAGAGAGAGAAGAGAGAAAGACCCATTCCCTGAAGTGTCTCTCTCTTTCTCTCTGTTTCTCCCTCCCCCCTCCTGAGTGGTGGTGTCAGACACATCTACCTGGCTTCTAGCCCAGCCTGTCTGTCCCAGTGAGGTGCACTGTAGGCAGAGGGGAGTTTCTCTAACAAGCCTAATCTTCCTGTCCTGATGGCCAACCAGGCTTCCAGGCTTCCTCCACTTGCAGAGTCTGAGGGTTTAAAGACAACTTAAACTCCCCGTGAAGAGCCAGACAGGCAGGGGAGTGGAGAGGCAAGGAAGAGAAATGGGGGAAGGGGTGTTCTCCTTGGCTCCTCCGCCACAGGTCTCCATGAGAGTTGCTGGCCTTGGTGAGGAGGGTGATGTGAGGAGTGGCTTAGTGTGTAAGGGACAGGGACTCTTCAAGAATGTGGTGTGGCTAGAGCTGCTGAACCTAACAGGAAAGTAGCAAAGACTTGCCCGCAAGCATGGCGATTATGTCTGTGATTCTAGCACGCAATGGACAAAGGCAAGATGAGTTCAAAGCTAGCTGGGCTACATAGAGAATAAAAGGCTAGCCCAGGCTAGACTCTGCCTCAAAAAAACCAGACTTTGGGGGACACCGACAGGCTTTCTTCTGAAGATGGGGCAGAGGTGGCCATGGAAGGGCTTCCAGCTGTGCGTTCTTCCCCCATCCTCCCTGTCAACAGCAGCTCACTCTTTCTATCCTCTGGCCCATGGCCTATAAGGGAAAAGACCTTGATGTACAAACCAGGGACAGAGCCTCCCACATGGGCCAGAGGGCCCAGAGGATGCAGGCTGCCGATGGGAGCCAGCTTGCAGCCCTGTGCCAGCCTGTCTTTATCTGAAAACACCCGGCATTTGGCAGCAAAGGCATTTCCTAAGGGCCTCAGGGTGGGAGTCACAGCTTAAGCCCTTAGTTCACAGGCCCGAGGGGGCTTTGTAAAGACAGTTGCTCTCCTGCTGAGCCCAAACCTACCATTTCCGCACTTCCTCCTCCTGAAGAGGAGGGCCTGACCACTGTGCAAAATGTTCTTAAAGATGTCCTGCTGAGGTGACAAGGCTCAGAGCTGAAAGGCAGCAGGCTCCCCACTGCCCCCAGGATGACGTCCAAAGGCCTGCCAGCTGGATGAAGAGACCACCCCTAACTCCCAGACAGCCACAGCTCCCGGCCGGCCTCAGCCTACAGGAGCCATTCCAGTCACCTAAGTTGCTGGGTCTTCTGGGTAGGGCTCACAAGCCTTCAAGATGCCTCTCTATAAAAAGTACCCCCTCGCCACCTTCCAGGCGGTACTTTATAGCCTCAAAATGGCCTTTCTCCAAGCAACATCTGGAGAGCCAGAGAGAGAGAGAGAGAGAGAGAGAGAGAGAGAGAGAGAGAGAGAGAGAGAGAGAGACTGACTCAGTCTCCATGGCAACATCTGGGTACTAGGCTAAAGGTTGCATTGCAGATTAGGACAAAGCAGGCCCAGGGGTGTTTCTAACTAGACATTCTGAAGATCCCACTCCTGCCTAGCTCGGCCAGGTCCCAGGGGAGCCCCGCTAGCTGGGTAATTTCTGCCTCAAGTATACACAGCTCCCCAACCTGCTGTAGTTGGATGTTTGCAGAGCTGACACAGCCATGCATGTTCTGACATCATGTCCCAGGGCAGCATTTTCTGTGGGTTTCCATTCCAAGGGGAATGGGCTGCTGCAGTCCCTTGCTTGGATGCTGGGTGCTGTTCCTTGGCTTTCTATGGCACCTTGCTTTTTCTCTTCCCAACTGACACTTTTTTTTTAAAGGCAAGATCATAGCCTAGGCTGGCATGGACCAGCAAGCCTCCTGCCTCAGCCTGCATCTTGTGACTTTCTAGCATCCGGGTTCTGTGGTGCACGCTGGAGTGTCTGTCACGGGAGATCAACAGGTTTGGAGACTTATCTCGTGACTTGAATGCTAGAAACCTTCCTGTCTGCTTTTTAAAAACATGCTCTCGTCATTTGTTTGAATTTATTCTTCCTCTTGACAATTAAAGTGATTCAAACATAAGAAAAGCTAAACACCCATCCCCCTCCTTCCCACTCTTGCTTCCTGATTTCCAGAGCACTTCCCAAATAAACTGTTAGCAGCCATTTGCCTCAGGTGTGGCTGAGGGTTCCCTCTTTGTGATCCATTCCTGTGGATTGCTTTTGGGGTGGGTTACTCAGTCTAGGGGTTGTAACCCACCCCGCAATCAAGTTACTCCAGGGTCTCGGAGGGGCGCTACCTGGAAGGGAATGAGCTAAGACAGAAGAAGGAGGCCAAGCAGATTTGTCAAAGCCTCCGTTTATTAGGGATGGGTTACAGTTTATATATGGTAAGGAATGGGGGGCAGGGTAACTGGATCTCGCCACGTGGTTCCGGTCACGTAGCTAGGTTACTTTCGGATGGTTAGGCCAGAAGTCACAAGTTGCCACACCTGGTTCCCTGGATAGCTGGAATGTGAGGCAGGTTCCGCTAATTGATAAGTTAATTGGGTGTGGGGTTCTCTGCAGATTCCCCAGGGTGATGGTTCCTGTAATGATTGAGGGGAAATGGCTCCTGACACATTCCTTCTCGCTGTGGGCAAGATCTTCCTTACAAGTTGCCTTTGTATGAGCAAAAATACTGCTCCAGAATACACAGCTTCCCAACTTGCTGTAGGACACTTGCAGAGCCGACACACCCATGCCTGTTCCCACGTCACATCCCCCACATCCCAGGGCAACATTTCCCAGAGCCTCAGCTTCCATCTCTAGAAGACAGAAGTTCTTCAGTCAGCGGACACTGACAGGGAAATCCTGTGGATCCAGCTACAACCACCAGCTTCGTCTCAGGGGTCAAAAAGCAGTAGATATGAAAATATCTGATACCTCAAGGCAGGGTTCATACTGGCCCAACCCCATACCAATGCCTTCAGAGGTACTCCTTCAGCACAGCTGACATCCTCAGATGGAGAGAGGTCTCCCCAAGGAGGTAAGGTGAAGTCTTTTTTTTCCCAGGAAGACTCAATGGTTAGTCTTTGTACAGTCAAAATCCCAAAACAGGACTCCAGGAATTAAGATAAGTCTGTTAATGCTTGTCCTATATCAAGGACCAGCCTAGACAAAAATACCTCTTGCCAAGGTAGAGGTGTGGGGATTAAAAATATAGTAAAAACTATGAAGACACAAATGAAAATAATAAAACAGAGAAACAAAGAATAGAATCGGGAGGGAATTCCAGTGAATACTAAAAATTAACCCATGTTTAATTTCCAACTGCTTAAAATACCCCTGACTCCCAAAGGTAGGAGTAAGACAGAAAAAAAAAAAAGCAATAACATGATAGAAGGAAATAAATAGACCAGTTGAAGGTCACGGGCTACCCAAACATCCCGCTGATAGAATAAATCAAGTAATGCTAACTCTTACACTAGACCAAAACATTCTGTAGGCAAACCACTTCTTGAGTGCAGTGCAAAGTGAAAGTTATCTC